AAACTCGAAGTTTTGCTGAATCTGAAGGAAAAATTTATCTACTTTTCGCTCTCGCTCATTCCATGCACACTAAATTTCAGGACTGACATGCTAGCAAATGGTACACATATGTTAAATTCTGCTATCTCTTATGTAAACTCGTCACCACAAGGCTAGATAACCAACTGGTAGTAATATAGTTTATAATGATGTCGACAAAAACAAAAAAATGGCGATTCTGTTATTCAATCTTGAAGTGGTGTGGCAGAACAATCGATAAAATTGATAGTAGAAATATGAGACCGAAGTGAAACGAGCTAAATGACCTGTTTGAAAGCATGGAAGCGCGGGGATATGTGCAATAGCAAATGTAAGAAATAATTTCTGAAGAAGCACACATTTCGTAAGTTCTATAGAGAATTTTAGCTAGTCTTCTAGTTTCTTTATTATCTTAAGCACATTTTGGCAATCAATTCCAAAGGTTTTGGAATAGAAGAAGTAAAACTCATTCTATGGTTAAACTGATTTTCTCGAACGGAGAAATAAAACTAAATATTATTGGACAGAAAAAGCTTTATACTACTTACGAATTGAAAGTCGAGAAATTCACAATGTTAGAGATATGATAATACACTTCAAAATGTTAAGGAAACCGTATTTGTATTACTTGTCTACGTACATATACATGTTTTTGTATGTATCAATGGAAACGATTGAATACATGCTTTATACACACATAAACGAGAATCGAGAGAGAACCATAAGTAAAAATACAATAGGATGTAAATATACAGAATATTATTAACAATAAATACTTGAATGTATTTCCTAGACAACCTTTCAAGACGGATGACCATTCGAAAGTTTGCTTTTGTCTAGTAATCGTCGGAGAAGTGAACGCGAGATTAGTTTGGTTAAGACATCACCAAGTTGGCTGAAGATGAGATGTGTGAGTGAAATACAGAAAAAGTCAGAATTTGACTAATTTGAAGATAAAGTGGTAGTTGATAGCCTTATACTTCATATAAGACTAGACAAATGATTCATACACAAAATAAATTTATAGGTATACCAGATTGTGAAACACAAAACACTTTCGTGAGACACTCAATAATTGTAACTTACCTCTGGTGACAAAATAGTGGACACAGACGGTAAAAAATGCGACAACTGAATGGAACTTGTTGTAAACAATGCACAAAGCATCAAATTCAACGTTTTTCAAGATGTCGTTAGCCAGGACTGAGAACTGATGCATCAAGTAACCATAAGAAACATCAAAGACAATAATAATACATAGCTCGAGAACACATGGATCGAAGAGAGCAAGTAATGCTCCTAAGTATTAGCGTGAAGGAATTAACATACTTCCCGATTTGTAAAAAAGAGGTCACAAATTTTAATATTGCTTTAGATATTTGCTACCTTTTGATCGGTGAACCTTCCTAGACATTTGCTACCTTTTGATTAGTGAACCTTCCATAATTTGTGGTATTTACGTTTTATAACTTAATACCAAAATATTAAGTTAAACATGTACATCCTATTGGATGTATGAGTGAACAGGTATTAGTTTTGGTAAATAATTTTTCCGAAGTGGCAACTGCAAGTCTAATAATAATTGACAAGAAATATGAACTATTAACGTAATTGAGTGGATTCTTATTCAGCTCTGTTACAGAAAGGACGATGTCACATTCCTTTGAGCCTTTGCTTTCTCTTCGACAACAATAAATTGAGCTGCCTTTTCCCATCAAGTAACGCAAGAAATCAGAAACTTGTTTTGACAGAGTTCTTATAGCTTTGATTATGTAAAGTAACTACTACTATTGATGGAAACATAGAGAGACCTGAAACAAGTATTGTCCTTTTATCACTTTGCTCTTCTCTCCTCTGTTTTTTTCATTATACTTGACAAAACAGATCTGTGTTGCAGCTTTATATACTCCAAAGTCCAAAAACGAGTGTCTTGAGTCCATTAGGAATAGTCCCTGAGAGATGGTTTCTTGAAATGTCAAGTGTCTCAAGCTCGGTAAGATTGGACAAAGACGAAGGAATATGGCATGTGAATGTGTTTTTTTTTGATAAGTTGAGCGCTATCAATTCGTTCAAAAGACCAATGTATTCAGGAATCTGTTTCCAGAGAAACCAATGGGGCTATAGGAAGTAAGGACCTTCTCTTTCTCCATGAATATGTCCTCTTTATCTATCCAATTTATGTATGTTCCTCATACTGCTAATGAGGCTGTCGATTCTTTGGCAAAATCTGCATTACGTTTGCTTCCTAGTTCCTCTATGTAATGAGTTGAATTCTTCTTCTTAATGAAACTTTTTTAGTTCAGAAAAAAAAAAA